CCCAATCAGTATTATGGGATGGGCACGTCATGCCAAACCTCTATAGGGTAACGCGACACTTGGATAAGTCTTGTGAGGGATATATAGCATTGGGAGTTTGTTCTGCCATCTAACCACAGGAAGCCCAAGCAGTATTATGGGATGGGCCCGTGATGGTGCCAAACCTCTATAGGGTAACGCGACACTTGGATAAGTCTTCTGAGGGATATATTATATTATATAGCATGTGAACTGAGCTTGGAAGCTCCGCACTTCAATCGTGACCTCATTCGTGGAAAACGCTACCTATTCGTGTATTTATTTCTTTTAACAAACTTCAGCAACGAAATTATAGTGAGAAACTGGTCGAAAAAATAAAAACGGTTTTCAGCTAGTCCTATTAATGGACTTGAGATCTTTTATCAGTTACAGTATCACCTTCTGTGAGCGATCCTCAGGCAGGGAGGTTGCCTCAAGATGCAACTCATATCAAAAGCTTTACTTGTTTGACGTGAAATGTTTTTTATGATCGTCAGCGATCACAGCTCTCTCAAGTTTTTGGTGACTAACTTTATTGAAATAAGTATATAACAGGGTTCGTGCTGAGGTAACCACTTAAAATTCAAGGACTATTCAAGGAGTATACAAGGACCCAAAAATGAATGTTCAAGGAGTATGTTCAGCTAACTATGCCAAGGTTTTACACGGTGGTTGCACATGGCCGACTTTCAGATTTTCCGATCTTTCTGACTAGATCTATTTCAGAACCATGCAAGTAATGATCAAAGCAAAAATTCAAGGAGTTTTCAAGGAGTTTAAGGAGTAGCAATAATCTAGATTATTGTACTTACTGTATCGCTATTGCCGTTGTTTTCTCCTAGTCCAGATCTCATTCGCAGCACACGTAGACGATCTAAGTACGATGACGGTTCTTCTGGAACCAGAAATAAGAACATTATTATGTCATTTTTGTGTGCATTTGTAATGTAATTCTCTATTTTCACATCCCCATAATACTTTGCGTCTTTGGGGGGTAACCAGAGGGTAAAAACCCACTGCCCAACCCCCCCCCCCCCGAAATTCTAATGTCCGTCAGTTAACAGTCGCAAATGTTCGCTCTTCAAACGAGGCTAAACCTGTGCAACTGAGTCTGTAATCAAGGAACACAGTGGTATTTACCGAATGAGAAGATGGACTTTATAACGTACCCGAGGTCTTCGATAAAACAAACAAACAAACAAACAGACAG